TGGTTGGCGAGTGTTTTCCTTCTTTTTTTTTCTTAGTAGAGGGTTTTACGGTGCAACTGCATAAGGTCATATGAGCGCAAAGGGGTGGATGTCAACAGAGAAAGTCTTTACAGGGGACCAGACTTACTCTGCTCACCACTATAGCTTCAACAGCACAAAGTCTGCTTCGACTATCAAGGCACCTCGGATATAGCAGGTCACAAGAGTGTGACAAACATACAAAAGAAGTAGAGGAAAATGACAATAGTACGGATTAGGAAAAAAAGCAGCAGTTCCCTGTTGTAGATCAGGCACAGTTATGAGCGAGACATGATGAATCAGCCCATTTACAATTCTACTGTGCATGAACGAGAAATGTCCACCCCTTTGGGAATAGCCTAAAGACACTACAGTCAGTGGCACTGCCCTGGGTGTGGGTGGGTTCCTCCTTCTTTCCAATCAAACATACAATATAATAATAATAATAATAATAATAAAAATAATGATAATAATATAATAATAATAATAATAATAAAAATAATGATATATTGTCCTTATCCTACCCTCCTTCATTTTTGTGTTTGCTACTCTCTTGTAACACTTATAATCTACGGCACTTCTTTGACTTTATTTAGTTGCAAGTGCAAGTAAAACTGTTAATAACAATACCTAAATTATCATGGGACAAACCTGGTTCTTACTCTACCCTTCATAGCCTCTTCTTAATCATCACAATGTATTTCAAGGTTTTTAAAACATTTATCTCCCTTGATGTTTTACGTGATTTGACACAAAAAGAAACTGGAAAAGTACCACCCTCGAGGCTTGATCAAGATATGAAAGATATGAAAACTGAACAAGACTGACCCACCATAATTTAGTGACTCGTATACCGGACGTCCCGTTCCTGTCCTGTGCTCACCGCACTAACGTCATTACCGCTGAAGCGACAAAAATAACGACCGGACAGGAATTACTTGGGGTCTTTTTCCTCACGGACAGAGGTTGAAGTTACATGGGGGAATAAGCAGAAGACTGAAAGAAACAATGTTTTCAGATTACGTTGGCCCCCAGCGAGGCTGGAAGACAAATGTAATCTTAATGTGGAAAGACAGAACAGGAGCACTTAACAGATAACGAGGATTGAGTGAAAGTCGGAAGGGTTAAGAAATGTGTGGAGAATAAATGGTGGAAAGTATTAGGAAGAAGTGAGGACAGGTTGAATAAGAACAAGGTGTGTTATGTCAGGCTATGCTCACCTAGAGATTAAAGACGTGGGTGAACCCTGCGAGTCGCCATCTGCATATTATGCTCCCTCTAGATACAACCAGATGTAGTAGTATGACAAGAAATGTATTACTACATACTTACGCGCCTGACGTCTTCTGGGTTATGATACGCCAGCCTCTAGATCTATTTCATTTGCTGTCATGCTGGGCTATGCCAATCAGACCTTGCTACGATTATTTTCAGGGTCATTCTTGAACTCGGCTGTTTAGAAAGTGTACAAGGCTCAGGACCCACGTATTTCTATTTTTTCTTAGATGGATTTTACATTTGCAGGTCTCAGAACGGAAATAATGTTACCTTTTAAAATGGAATCAAACGCTAACCTTAACATACCTTGACTTTGACAAGTTAACAGAAAATCGGACGCCACTCTGTTTTCTTTCGGACATCTCTATTAACCTTAATTTAGTATAAGTGACGAAGATTAGAGGTGTTACAAAAGAGTAACATACACAAAAAAGAGGGATGAGAGATAAGAAAATCAGTATTTGATAGGAAAGGATGAGCAAACCACACCAGAGAACCCACCTATCTCCCCCACGATATTAACATTGAGCAGACAGTCCGTGGACACATGGCTTTGACTATTAATGGTGTCGCTTGAATTCTACGAATTTGAGTAAATCAAAAATGAAAAAAAATATAATGTTGACCTTAAGCACAATTAATATATTGCACATTGATTTAACTGAAGTGACACTTACAAGGCTACCTATCGAATCATCATTTCTTGGTCTTACCAGATATTACTCTATTACTAATTGATTATTTTTAAACATTTATTTTGTCTAACTCAATCACATCATGGATCTCTAAATGTTTCTTGATCACTATCAACTTCGATTTTGCAAAACACCCTCAACGGTCTCAGACATAGAAAAAGAGTTCACGAACATTTTCTCACTAAGCTTACCGTCTGCTTTATTCGCAATAGCCTTGAGACAAAATTGTTAGCACTCTGTAACCAATTAAGCTCTGGGACTCGCGTCTAAGAACAACGAAAAAGAATTGTGCTCGCACTAAATCGCTTTTTATGTTATTCTTCGCAGATAACTCAGCATTTACTATAATTCTCACATCCCACTTAACGCCCCGGCCCCCATCGCTTCCCAGTTAATCTCTTCAAGAAACATCGTGAAATTTTTTAAAAACTTTGTCCGCTAACAGCACTGTACGCGACTTGCGCTGCTAAAATGTGTGTGTGTGTGTGTGTGTGTGTGTGTGTGTGTGT